TCAAAATTATGTAAATAAAAAGCAATTTTAATAAGTTATTGTTTCTTGAAATCACTTCTGCATCAGCATAAAAAGTACTGCTATTGTGAAGTGCATTCCTTTTTGATATCAATACTAGGCCCTAAAGAGTACCTGGATACACCAGGCAAAATCTGTTCCTAGTAAAGACCATGGTGATCCAAAACTTGAAGTTCAGCATTTTTTAACTTGCCTTTCAGAAATGTTTAAAAAAGCAATTAACCCTTCTTCACATGACAGTAAGTAAACAAAAATGAGCAATTTAGGCAAGAAAGCTGTTTATGGGCCCCCTAACTAAAAAAATAAAACCAAAAGCCCAAAAACGGTAGGGAAGGAGTTCCATACAAGACAGCGTTCTGCTTTGATGTGAAAACGGCGCTAATGTGAGTAACCCAAAAACAGTGGAGACTAAATAATTTACAAAAATAGAAGGCAGATTGGTATTTTTTATCAAGTATATGCTTGTTTGAAAAATCTTTGCTCCTGAAGTAAATATTTGACAACCACAGTGGTTAACAGCTAAAGCAATTTCAACAAAATAAGAAGTCATCAAAAATGGACTACTTGTCTGAAAGAGCAGTACCTATATTACATAGATTGAACTTCAGAGCTCATCACAACCATTTCCAAAATTTAATTCATACTATCCTTTCATAAATTAAGAGAATTTCATTTGTGTTCCATAGCGCAATGACCAAAAAGGAAGAAAAAATAAATAAAAACAAAAATAAACCCTCATGCCTAAATTTAGGATATTGTATTGTATAGCAATTAAAAACATTCAAAACAAATTAAATAGTTTAACTTATTTGATAGACATATGAGCATTTCAAAAGCATAATGAAATCCAATTATGTAGTGCATAATATAGACAAGAGAAGAATCTAACATTATGCAGACATCTGCTAAATAAAAGCTCCCTGTAGGACCATTGGTGAGTGCAGACTATTTCTGTGGAACCTTTTTGAAACTGAGAGTCTAAAACACAAGACATTTTTCAAGTAGGCACCAAGTTATCCTAAAAAATTTTCATGATGGTTGTTTTGACATTTCTCTCATCAGATATTCTACTTACGTCAATAATATATGTGATTTGCCAGGAAAAAAAAAAATCCTTCCAAACCAAAACACCATTCCAGATCCCATACACTTAAATATATCACTCTCATTGGAACTGCTATCAGCATAGTCTTGGCAACTAGCCCAACGCATATATTTAAGAAGTTTTTATAAATTGTTTGTGATGTTCATTATGTTTAATTTTTATGCCAAACTTTTCTGATGAAGACAGCATTGTGTTTTATGCAAGAATGGAAGCCTCAAAATAATCACCATAAAGCTTCTAACACTTATGGGAGAATAAACTAGGATGGTACACAGATATGAAGATGAAATCCACAACGTTGGAATTATAAATGTTTAGAGGAGCCCAGACTAGAAGACAAGCCCAAACCATCATTTGAAGAATGACATATGATATGGTCCAAAATGTATCCTTAAAGTTTTGTCTCAACCCTTAGTCTGAATAGTGAGGATTGATCTTCAGTTCAGTCCAGCCAGCAGAAATTGACTGTGCAATTTTCCTGTGGATTTATTATACATACTATGTACATTCTAGAAGGTTCTTTTAGTGCTACACTGTTGTACTTTTTGTCCCAGCAATTTGAGGGTGTGCAAATTCCACAAGGTCATCAATGAGAACAGGCCATGCTCCTTCTTCATCATAATTAGACATGTCATCTGCAATCATTGTACTGAAGTCTATAAGGAGATTCCAAGTATCTTTTGGTATTGATTGTTTATGATGTTCCAACAAAAATTTATTCCATAAGTCTAAGAATTTAAATCTTCCATTAAGCACTAAGTTCCAGCAGGCAATGGCCATTTCTAGATCTAATCCTTTTTGTCCTGGATTCTTTGCAAAACTAAAAGTAAACTGGTAAAAATCCTTAAATTGTCCTGGTTCTTTCAATTCTTGTTCCATCTTGAGTATTTGAGCCTTTAGTTTTTCTATGCTGTCACATCCTAATTCTGTCATGCCATCAATGAACTCCCACTTGGAGAACTCACACTGTGTTGCTGCTCTGAATTTCCATGCAATGATCAAAGCACTAATGCTGGCTGGATCAAGTGCCAGGTCATCACAGGATTGCTATATACCATCTATTTCAATTTTATTTTCATCTTGAGGATCTTTGTATCTCTTGTATAGTTGTTCTAACTTCTTCCTGTCCAATGATCCTTTTACACTCTCTCATATATACAGTTCAGGATTTTGGAAAAAATTATCTGTTGCAACATCTAACTTTCAGTCATTTTGAGAAAGACAACTTACTGCAGTTTTTTCACTAGATTGTGTGACGATCATAAACTATTGAACTTTATCCTTCTGCGATGATTTCAACTTGTTCATGTTGGTGTCCTCCAGACCTCTCCCCTCCTCCTCCGGCTCTGCAGCAAATTATAAGTCGTTTTTAAAAAGATGGATAATTTAAGCATTCTTTGAAGTTTCTCAACCTATTCCTTGATCTTAAGATCAGGTTCCTGTTCTTTACTTTGTTGATTAAGCCAATTTATGGACTTTCAGTATTTCTGAAGAATTTTGGGTACAATGAGTCTGGAAGGAAAAGAGCCTAAATTTAACCAAGGGAATGCTGATATGCACTGCCTTTGGTGACATCAACTGGTTATGGAAGTTGCAGGCTTCTTAAAGTATAGGGCTTTTGGGCCAGGGATTTAGCTCAGTGGTTACAGTGCCTGCCTTGCAAGTGCAAGGTCCCAAGTTTGATCCCTGGTACCAAGAAAAAAAAAAAAGTATAGGGTTTTTAAAGTTATGATTTTCTTATCCCCTCTCTACCTAGCCTTTATTTCTTTTACCCTACTTTAGAATCTTTAAAGAGTTTTCTTTGTGAGCT